CAGATTTGCACTATCAGGGCTAGGGTTAGCATGCTAAAAATAGCTGTGTAGACATTACTTTGATGTTCTGGTTTGGGCTAGAGCTTGGCTCTGAAGCCCACCCCTACCCCTCAGACTTCAGAGTCCGAAGTCCAGCCCAACCTGGAATGTCCACTTTGCTATTTTTAGTGGACTTTCTAGCATGAGCCCTGCTAACACAACTCTATTGACCCAGGCTGCAAGACTTGTCCCAGCAGCTGTGTAGACATACCAAGACACTCTTTTTCTTGATTACACTTGGCCTTTGTTAGCCAATGTGATGCTGCTAAAGTTCAGAGTATGTTACATGGGAGCAGTTTGGGTAAATAGTAGAATCAGAATTAGGTTTCATAAGAGCTGGGCTAGGTAAGTCATATTTTGGACCACTGAGTTGCCAGCATCAAATAATCCTTTAAACTTGTTACTGTTATATACTGGTAAATTTTTGGTTCAACTCAATGAACTTTTATGTATTTGCAGGAGTACCAAAAGCCAGTAGCTACAGGATGCGAATAGCATTATTCAGAAGTGATCTGAACATCTTTGAACTTTTCTACTGTGTTTATATGTGGAAGTAATAGTCAACTAGCAGCCAGGGGGATGCATTTGCAATGATGGAATGTTCTTTTTTCCTCTTATGTGAGCTGATAGGATCTTTTAATGCCCAGAGTTTCTGATTCCATTTTATGTGTAAATGATTGCTGCTTTAAACCATTGGCTATGGTTTATTTATAGCGTAATACATAGTTCACAATTAAATGCCAAGCTGTAATTGAATCAAAGGATTCTGCTGATGCCTTGAATCACAAGGGTGCAGCTCAAGTGCTTTATAAAGGGCAGCAGAACCTAAGACTAAATTACAGCCTCCAGTATTCAATCTGGGATCATGCATTATTATTTATAATACGGATAAAAGGATTATTATAATACTGAAGTAAATAAAAAGAAAATGCATCAGACAGCAGAAGGCAGAATGCTTGCAAAGACTTTCAGTTTGTGCTGTGGGAGGCTAAGGATTATACTGTACAAGAAATAGAACTGGAGGAAAAGTTTAAAAAAAGTTTGAATATTACATTAGTACATGAGAAATGCCATTAAAGGTAGAGCAAGAGTAGTAAGACACAGGCACTAGGTGGAAAACGTAACATGACTCAAGGACATGTTAGACTGTGCAAGGGTGAGGGAGGTTGGAGGCTAGTAGAAATAAAATCTAGATTGTCACTGTGACGTTGTGCAGTCTATATGGTTTTATAAAAAACATGATAATAAGTGAATATAATGTAACTGGGATAGTTTTATAAAAATTTGATAAGTGACTATAATGCAAATGGGATATGCTTCGTGCAAAAGGTCTCTTGTAAGGTATCATTACAAAGCTTATAATCTACCGAGTATGATCATCTGATTTGTATAAATGTACCACTCTTGTATCTAAAACTAGAAATATAAAACATAACTCTGAGGGCCTATTGTAATTATGTAAAGTGTGGGCCATTAATGATGGTTTGGAATCTTGATGACTCCCATTAACAAGGACCATTGTCTGCAGATGACTATGTTTACCTGTGAGTCTTCCTGTATATGTGTGTGCTGGCAAGTGAATAATGAAGTCTTGCAGTGACATGTGATCATGTCACCTGAACTGGAATCCATCTTTAACCTGGTGCTTTTCCAGTGAGGGGGGG